ATCGTATGATCCAGAGTTAAAAGTTGTACTGTAAAATAACCGATATATCATAGGAAGCGTGCAATTGAACTATGGAATCTTGTCATAGTTTTTACACAGGCTTGAACTAACAACTTTAGGAGTAATAAGATCTCCACGATGTCCTTACTTAAGGTGTTCTTTCTTTTATAACCTCACTTCGATGAATCCATCTTTGCCTGTGCTATTCTTTTCTACAAAAAGTACTACTACTTCCATTCCAAAATAGATATTTTGAAAAGGTGCCTTCAAGCTTTTCTTTAGCTTTGTCTGAATATTTAGAAAGATTATCAAGGTTAGCCAATCAAACTAATATCATCAGATTTTCATGCTAAACACATTTCATAATTCTTTATTTCTCTTCTTTTTACTAATCTATTGATATAAAAAAAATTGAGCATCGAAGTCACATCTTGGAGACTACTCTGTTCTAAAGTACTCCCTCCGTCCGGAAATACTTGTCATCAAAATGAATAAAAGGGGATGTATCTAGATGTATTTTAGTTCTAGATACACCCCTTTTTGTTCATTTTGATGACAAGTATTTTCGGACGGAGGGAGTACATGATGGAGGGAGTACATGAGATTGTTAGTTTATTATTATTTGGCCTTCCGCACCCATTAACAGTGAACTGATTTGAAGGTTGGAGGGTCTACCCCGGAATCATTTGAGATCATTGCACGAGCATCTTCTGAAGCTGTGTTTGAAGCTAAAAGGATGGAGAAGAGGTTCTTTCTATACAGATTTATAATATGGCTGGAGGAGCTTTTGAATGAACTTCACCTATTTGGAATGAAGCTGTGGTTGCATTATCAACAACCAAGGAGGATACTGGCTGGGTAAAAGCAGCTCGGCATATCAACAGTTTTTTGACTAGTGTAAATGCAAAATTGGCATCTAGTTCCATGAGAGAAATATATGGCATTTGGCGTAACATTGCCTTGTTTTTTTATGCATTATTCGGCATATCAACCATGATTGATCTTAGATCTTCCTTGAATGTACACCTCCCTATAGAAGAAGAGATGACAGTTTTGAGATAGTGTATGTTCGTTCATTTTGGTAGGTGGATAAAGTATACAAATTGCCATCACTGTACAGTGTGAATGATCAAGCTCTTGTTCCATGATGTGTTTTCATTCTTCACTGCATGTTTTATTTTGATTTAGTCAGTACCCTCTAAAACATCGATAAGTGCGAAATTCGTCTGCTCAAAATAGAAGTTTCTCTTTAGTCCTGTCGATGCGATATTTTGCTGGTGATAAACAAGTTCCATAAACAGGGCCAATATCTAATTCTTGCTCTCTGCACCCTGTTTTAAAACTGGTCTTTTGGACTTGTATAAAATACTCCCTCATGTATCTAGACATGTTTTAGTGTTAGATTCATCCATATCTAAATAAATCAAAAACAAGCTTTTTTGGACGGAGGTACCTTATTTTTCCATCGTAAGTAAAAATATGATTTCAGGTAGCAGATTAGTAACTAACAAAAATGACAAAAAATCTTGCAACACAATTTTCCATTACAATTTGCAAGCAGCAGAGACGATTGAGTTCTGAAGATTCTTCTTCCCTAGACTACACCGATCAAATCCAACCCAATTCGCGCTCTCGCTGAGGTTGCCCCCCTGTGGTCACCGCAGGTCTCTGAGTGGGTATCCAGTCCAGCTCCGGTGATCCCCGCCGCTCCTTGCGGCTGCCGTCGGGCGGTGACTGCTTCCGGTGCTTCCTCATGTGCCCGCCGAGCGCCTGCCCTGAGAGGCACTCCTTGCCGCACACCTCGCACCTGTGTACTTTGCTGTGGGGCCTTCCAACAGCGACCGCCGAGCTGCCATTGCCGCCGGCCTCCTCGACAACTTCGTCGCCGCCGTGACCACGGTGGTTCGCTGCACCGGTGAATATCTCCTCGTTGATGTTGCCCACATTGCGCCCCAGGAAGCCTCTGGTGTCGGCGTCCGGATGATGTGCTGCAAAGTCCACCGTCTTGTTCCCAGCCGCGGCCTTGTCCTCGCCGTGAGCGGCATTGCCATCGGCAGCCTCTTGGCCCACCGTGGCCAGCTTCTCGCCGCGGTCACCATTGCCACCACCGGAAACGTTCTCTGGGCTCGCTGCCGCGGCGATCGCGTCCTTGGCCTTCTTCCTGTGGCCCAAGTGCACGTGCCCGCCGAGCGCCTGGTGGCTGCCGAAGCACCTCCCGCACATGTTGCACAGGAAGCGCCTGGGAGCTCCCGCCGCCGCTGCCACCACCGGCGTCTTCTGCTCTGCCGTCACGTCCCGATGCTGCGTTCCCCCGCCACTCCCCTTGCCATGCACGGCGCGCTGTGCCTTCGGCTCCACGCCGTGACCGCGACGCTTCTTGTTCTTCTTGCCCAGATCAAAAAGATCGCCCCGTTCCGGGGAGAACACGGCGGGCTCCTCGCTCCCAGACTCCTCCCCGGTCGAGGAGGCGCCGCGCGGCGCTGCGAGGCTAAGCCGAGCCTCCTTGTCCTTGGCCGCCACCGGAGGGTCGTCGGCGAGTAACATCTCCCGGAGACGCCTCTTCCGCCCGCCGCCGCCGCCGCCTCGCCCGCGCGGCGGCATCGCGTCTTGATCACCATCTTCGCTCGCCTCCGCCGGCGCGGGCTGGCGCGCGAGGAACACGAAGCGGTCGACGTCGTCGTCGTCGTCGGAGTCCGAGGCGTAGCGCTCCTCCTCGCCGGCTGCTTCCTCCTCGACGAGAAAGCTCGGGCGGTGGTGCCGGAGCGGATCTCCCGACATGGCGATGGCGGTCATGTGTGGTGTGGCGGCGGTGGTGCCCTAGTTTGCGCGTATATATAAGGAAGGAATAGGGTCGCGCCGATCGGGAGAGGGAAGCAGCTGCTTGCCTCGCCTGGATGTGGCTGCTGTGCTGGGTACGGTACGCACGCACGGTCGGATGCGAGTCCCAGTCGGACCCGAGTCGGGCGGCGGATCCTCTTCTCACCATGTCTGTCTTTGACACGGTTTTGCGTGGCGGCGCAGCGTGAATCCGCGATCCTGATTCCAAACCTTTTCTGTCAAGAAAGAAACACAACACAAACGCAGATGCTCGTATACATGCACATATATTCATTTCTATAAATACACACACGCACATTTTATCTATATGATCATTTCCGAGCGACTGAGCAGGCAGGTCTTGAGAACCAAGATTTGCTTTGAATCACTGGAAAAAAGAATGGACCACCTAGTCAACTGAAATCAAAATTCAGTTTGAAACTTTTTGTAGCATTAGCCGCGCGAGAAAATACGTAAGTTTTTCAGCTTCGACTCATTTGAAAGTTTTGCTAGTTCGGCTATGTTGGCGAAATCACTTCTTGTTTGAAGCCTCAAGTTCACCTGATTGATTGCCGAGGAGGTTGAAGCCGAAATCTAGCCGGCACAATACACGAATTCGGGCACAGAAAATTATAAAGGCACAAATTAATTTTAAGACCAAGTCAATTGGCACCAAAAGACTTGACTTATTCAAGCATAATCTTTTTTTTACATAAGCTATTCGGTATTTTCGAGCTCATGACACTGCTAACCTGTTATGTGATTTCAATCCTGGAAGCAAGACTTCTTGGTCGAGGTTGAGCATGGGGTGTTGCACCCACAATTTTTTCGAAAAGGCAAAGTATCACGGATAAGTGTTCCTGAAGAAGATTTTGATCCTCATGCTGGCCTTCCAGCCCGGCCTGACTCTTGGGGGCTACTGGATCCGCGTTTATTCAAAGGTAGTAAGTCAATTACCGAGGAGATTCGATCCTCGGGTCGTCCATGTTCTCCGTCCTAAGTCTTGGGGGCTACTGCATCGACATTTCAAGCCTGACATCAGGTTGATCGATGAATCTTGTAGAACCGAGCTTGCGGGCTATTTGTGAAGGACATATGCCCTAGAGGCAATAATAAAGTTGTTATTTATATTTCCTTATATCATGATAAATGTTTATTATTCATGTTAGAATTGTATTAACTGAAAACTTGATACATGTGTGAATACATAGACAAAACACCGTGTCCCTAGTAAACCTCTACTCGACTAGCTCATTGATCAAAGATGGTTAAGTTTCCTAACCATAAACATGTGTTGTCATTTGATTAACGGGATCACATCATTAGAAGAACGATGTGATGGACAAGACCCATCCGTTAGCTTAGCATAATGATCGTTAAGTTTTATTGCTATTGCTTTTTTCATGACTTATACATATTCCTTTGACTATGAGATTATGCAACTCCCGGATACCGGAGGAATACCTTGTGTGCTATCAAACGTTACAACGTAATTAGGTGATTATAAAGATGCTCTACAAGTATCTCCAACGGTGTTTGTTGGGTTGGTATAGATCGAGATTAGGATTTGTCACTCCGAGTATCGGAGAGGTATCTCTGGGCCCTCTCGGTAATGCACATCATAATAAGCCTTGCAAGCAATGTGATTAATGAGTTAGTTGCGGGATGATGCATTATGGAACGAGTAAAGGGATTTACCGATAACGAGATTGAACTAGGTATGGAGATACCGACGATCGAATCTCAAACAAGTAACATACCGATGACAAAGAGAATAACGTATGTTGTCATAACGGTTTGACCGATAAAGACCTTTGTAGAATATGTGGGAACCAATATGAGCATCTAGGTTCCGCCATTCGTTATTGACTGGAGAGGTGTCTCGGTTATGTCTACATAGTTCTCGAACCCGTAGGGTCCGCACGCTTAATGTTCGATGATGATTTGTATTATTTGAGTTATGTGATTTGGTGACCGAATGTTGTTTGGAGTCCCGGATGAGATCACAGACATGACGAGGAGTCTCGAAATGGCGGAGAGGTAAAGATTCATATATAGGACGACAGTATTCGGACACCAGAAGTGTTCTGGGGGTACCGGGTACGTATCGGGTCACCGGAAGGGGTTTCGGGCAACCCCGGCAGGCTATATGGGCCTAATTGTTGGGAACGTAGTATTTAAAAAATTTTACCTACGATCACGCAAGATCTATCTAGGAGATGCACAACAACGAGAGGGTAAAGTGTGTCTACGTACCCTCTTAGACCAAAAGCGGAAGCGTTTATTAACGCGGTTGATGTAGTCGAACGTCTTCGTGATCCAACTGATCCAAGTACCGAACGTACGACACCTCCGTGATCTGCACACGTTCAGCTCGGTGATGTCCCTCGAACTCTTGATCCAGTTGAGGCTGAGGGAGAGTTCCGTCTGCATGATGGCGTGATGACGGTGATGATGAAGTTACCGACGCAGGGCTTCGCCTAAGCACTACGACAATATGACTGAGGTGTAAAACTGTGGAGCGGGGCACCGCACACGGCTAAAGATCAACTTGTGTGTCTTTGGGGTGCCCCTGCCTCCGTATATTAAGGAGGGAGAGGGAGAGGCAGCCGGCCCTAGGGGCGCGCGCCAAGGTGTGGAGTCCTACTAGGGACTCCCTAGTCCTAGTAGGATTCCACCTCCCACA